ATAAATAAAATAAAAAATATAAAAATCTCATTAGGATTTTAAAGTTCTTAAGGACCAAGACAATAATTTATTCATCATTTCAATTCCTTACAAAGGATCTTTGACATAATAGGGACCTCAAAAATATTTGTGAACTTAATTACATTTAAAATGATGAACATTTGACTTAAGAAGACCTCAAATAACACATGGATGGTGAAATTTATAAACTGTTAGGAACTCCCCATTCATTGTTCTAGGATATTGCTTCCTCATTTATTTTTTTCAACCAATCTTGTCTTTTAACTTACCCCCTTCATAAATACATTCCATAGTATTTTATAGTTTAGTCATAATGTTTGCCTTAAAGAGTGCTGCTCTGTGGCTAGCACTTCTAAGATCCACCGGCAATGTTGGAGAGACTGATACGCCACAGTAAAGCTTCGTTCTTGGTGCTGCCACTCACAGTATGCCTGTGTTTTTTTCCTCACCCCAGGTAACTGAGGAGGACTGATAATTGTATATATTTTAGTGTCAAATGTGGAATCCTATTTTTTTTTAAAGATTTTTATCTATTTATTTGACAGAGACAGCGAGAGAGGGAATACAAGCAGGGGGAGTGAGAGAGGGAGAAGCAGGCTTCCCCCGGAGCAGGGAGCCCGATGTGGGGCTCCATCCCAGGACTCTGGGATCATGACCTGAGCCGAAGGCAGACACTTAACGACTGAGCCACCCAGGCGCCCCTGGAATCCTATTAATTGATAAAATTTGTTAAGGAAGCTACAAAGTGGACAGGCCTTAAATGAAGTTATAGACTTGAACACAGCCCTCTGCTTCCTTTGCTCTCAAATCTCTAAACACCCACTCACAAATTCCCAGCACTTTGCATCTGTCATCCCCAGCACTCTTACCATACATCTTCTACCTTCTCCAAGAAATCTTTCCACTATTGTGTAGTTGAAGAATGAATCAAAGATGGTAATGACTGGTAAATATTCTTGTAACTGGAACTCTCTGAGACAAACCTAAAGGTAATTCTAACTTAAGGAATTGTAGGCATGGTGCCAAGGCAATGGAGAAAAAGACTGTGGGAACTTGAGCTAGTCATGTTTAAAAAGTTTATGTCTTTGCAGGGCTTAATGCAAGCCTCAGTTCAAGTAACTTCTAAGCCCACCAATTCTAAAGTAGCATTCCTTCATATCAAAGTATTGTTTTCTTCACTACACACGTCACTATGTGAAGTGATCTTATTTATTGGGTTACTTGATGGTTATCTATCCCTACTGGAATATAAGTTCCAAGGGATAGTGATTAGCTTATATTTCAAATATTCCTAGCACTGACCCAAAGTAGGTACGCAATAGATTTTGTAAAATGAAAGAATTTAATGAATGCTTATACATAGACATGCCTTCATTTACATGCTATCAAGTCATTTAAAATGCTTAGGGGAAGAAGAATATATTAATTATCTGAAAATTACAGTATACAATTTTTTTCAAATGTGAAATAATATCTCCTAAACATTTTTTAAAAAAGATTTTATTTATTTATTTGACAGAGAGAGACACAGCGAGAGAGGGAGCACAAGCAGGGGGAGTGAGAGAGGGAGAAGCAGGCTTCCCGCCGAGCAGGGAGCCTGATGTGAGGCTCCATCCCAGGACCCTGGGACCATGACCTGAGCCGAAGGCAGACCCTTAATGACTGAGCCACCCAGGGACCCCTCTCCTAAGCATTTAAAAAAATTTTTTAATTTTACAAGTTTTTCATAGTTTCTAAAAGCCTGGAATCCTATAAATTCCATTCAGATTCTAAGCTAGGTGCTCTGTATCCCCTGTATGTGTAGAACATGACAAATATTCACCAAATACACTTTCATTAAAACCTGACAAAGGGGACTGCCTGGCTGGCTCAGTCTGAAGAGCATGCAACTCTTGACTTTTGGGTTGTGAGTTCAAGCCCCACCCTAGGTGAAGAGAGTACATAAATAAATAAACTTAAAACTTGACAAAGGTGTAACACCAACTTAAAGAAAATCCCATCCTTGGAACCCCTGGGTGGCTCAGTCAGTTAAACCTCTGCCTTTGGCTCAGGTCAGGATCCCGAAGTCCTGGGGTAGGTCCCTGCATAAGGCTCCCTGCTCAGTGGGGTGTCTGCTTCTCCCTCTCTTCCTCACCCTTATCTCACACACTCTCTTTCAAATAGATAAAATATTTAAAAAAAAAAATCCCATGCTTAAAAGGAGTTTGAGTTTGCCACAGTATTTTATTTTATTTTTTTTAAGATTTTATTTATTTATTTCACAGAGAGAGAGCGAAAGAGGGAACACAAGCAGGGGGAGTGGGAGAGGGAGAAGCAGGCCTCCTGTGGAGCGGGGAGCCCAATGTGGGACTCGATCCCAGGACCCTAGGATCATGACCTGAGCCGAAGGCAGACGCTTAATGACTGAGCCACCCAGGCGCCCTGCTGCAGTATTTTAAAAGTCGGTATGCATTACTGTGTAATACATCTCAAACTTTAATATATTTAAATGCTATTTGAAGCCTAGTTATTAAAGTGTAAATGTTCTCAAAGACTGTTTCTGTACCACAGGTACCAAATATAATTTCAGAGAATTCAAGGTAGTTCTTTAGGCTAAAAGAAATGCATGCAGTACACATGTACTTGCACAAGGAAGGACCTAAAATTGATGGTCACCACCAGAAAAATGGCTACTTATTCCCTGATCGCCAGTAAAATTAATAGGCCAGTGACCAGGAGGAAGCACCATGGCTAAACCCATCCCAGGGGGATTGAGTTGCTTGGGAAACCAAAGAGAAGTTCGTGAGCATTTTCTCTAGTGCCCAAGACCACGTCCTTCAAGTTTTCTTGCCCTCCAGATCTAGTAAGGAAGGAGGAAGAAAAGAGAAGAGAGGGAGGAAAGGAGAGAAAGAAGGAGAAAGGGGAGAGAAAGGAGAGGGAGAGAAACGGACAGAGACAGAGTGGGAGAAATGGGCAGGGACCAGGCTGATGAAACAATTGCACGCCAAGCCACGCCCCTGTTTCCTAGGTAACCCGGTAAACAGACCGTCATCTGCTTATCGTCAGTGAACTCCGCTAGGTGTGAATTGGTAGGCAGGAAGCTGTGGGCAGGGAGTCCGAGTGGAGATGTGTTCTTTCGTGAGAGTAGGGTCCCCTAAAGGGTTGGGTGCACCACAAGGGATTAGGAACTTCCCTTGAGACAGGTACAGCTCTCCCCTTAGAGATGAGTGCCGCTGGAGGAATGAGGGTGTCTGAGAGGAAACCTCCCCAGAGCATGGAGGTTGGTCTCACCCACGAAGGAAAGGATGACTTAGGAGAGAGGGGGGTCCTCATCGGAACAAAATCTCCCACGGAGTTAAGGTTCAGAGTGGGATTAGGAAAAGAAGATTCTTCATGTAGGGAGAGCCTCCTGGGTAGTAATAAATTTGAGGAGAGGATAGCATCACCAGAAACAAAATCTCCATTGAGCAAGGAGCTTGAAATGAAATTAAAAAGACAGAATCTTTCTAGGACCCTCCTGGAGAGGAGTAATTTAGGAGTCTCTGGGGTCTCAGCCTCCCAGGAAACAAAATCTTCTCTAGGTATGTTGCCAGGAAGAATGGGCTTAGAAAATGAGTGTCTTCTGGGAAGGTGTTCTGGAAGGATAATACAGCCTCACTTGGGCATGGTATGTGAAAGTCCACAGGCTCTAGGGAGCAGGAGAGGTTCTGTGGCTGGGTCCTCTGAAGGGTTAGGGGCTTCACTGGGGAAGCAGCCTACTTTGGATATGGAACCTAGACAGGAACTGGGAAAAGAGACCTGTGTGGTGATGAAGCCCCGTGCAGAGATGAAGCCTCCTGTTGAGGTGGACACTGGTCTACCCAAACTAGAAGAGCCAGATAATACAGGGCCCCAAATAGGCTTGGTGATAGAACCTTCTGAGAGCCAGTTTGCCCAACAACCTGAAGAGAGAAAGGAGGCTGAAAACACTGAACCAGGAGTAGAACCTCCAGATCGCATCAGACCCATATACTCTGGGAAATTTTTTGATCGGATGCCTTGCTGGCCAAGTGTAAGTGTTTTTTTCTAGTACTTTCCCTAAGAACTCTGTATATGTGTCTTTATCAAGATGATAAACTGATGGGACTTGTTTGGATTCATGGAGTCAAATTGCAGAGATTTCACTGAGCTTCTGATATTCCTTGTCCCATTGGATTCTTTCCAGCTTTCATTTTGTCTGATCTCTTCTCATTCTTTGCCTCCCTTCCTAGACGTCAGCTTTGTTTTTGTGCACACTAGTGGTTCCTCTTGATTTCTCCTGCCTTTCTCCTTTGACCTTCATTTTATTTATCAAACTGCATTTCCTCAACCCTTTCACCAAGATACATGTTGTATCCTAGTAGTTATGTAATGAAGGAAAAAAGAAAAAAAATTCCCCCATTGATTATTTATTCTGTGAGTTACTCTTTCAGCAAAGACTTGTGGTGGTGGTGGCCGTTTTGCTGGATACAGGGCAATATACAACAAAAAATACATTATCCATACACTCTAGGTTTAGATACTCATTCTAATGTTAGAGATCGATAACTAAATAAATGTTATATAGGTTTCCAAATGAATAGAAAACAAATGTGATTCTTCCTTAATAGAAATATACTCTAAGAACAGAGCTCAGTGGAAAGATTGGGCAGCTCTGTTTGAAGGAGATGGGAAAGGCTTTGCAGAGCAAGTAATATTTGAGCTAATTTAGAAATATTTGAGCTCATTTGAACTAATTTGTCAGATGGAAAAAAGATTGGGGCACTTTTGGCAAAGAAAGGCAAGGAACATAACCAAAGTTTCTTGTATTATTATATTTGAGAAATATAAGCAACTCTTTTTATCCAGCATGGTGTTAAGATACGGATGAAAAAGAAATATGTGGAAGAAATCTAAACGTCCAGAATGCAGGGGTAAAACATATGGAAACAGAAGCAATGGTGGATAAAATTTGCCTTTTGGAAAGATAATTTTGATATCAGCAGTAATGGTGGACTGGAAGGGGGCAATATTGGATCACAGGAAAAATTAGAAGGCTTTATCCAAGTAACTATGGATGAAAATTAATGTAGAATTAGAAAGAATAAAGAGGAGAGCACAATTTTGAAAGCTTTGTAGGAGATGATATTGTTAAAAATTGCCATCTAGAGGCACTTGGGTGGCTCAGTTGGTTAAGCCTTCGACTTGTGATCTCAGTTCAAGTCTCTATCTCAGGGTTGTGAGTTTAAGCCCCATGTTGGGCTCCAGGAAAAGTATCTCTGGGACTCAGGGGTTCTTTTGTCTTTGACCCACTTTGCTTTCTGGTTCCCTTATTGGATTTCCCCAGCCATACTCTTTCACTTGACCATGGCTGCTGCTTCTTTCTGGATTGGTTCTGCAGTCTATGGCTTCAGACCTGATCTCAAACATGGGCAGCTACCAGCTCTAAAAGAGGCATTTCTAAAACCTGTGCTTCCTCCTCTCACATCCTCCTTTCTAAGTGTAATAGGACAGGGAAGACAGTTTCAAGGAGAAAATGACTAGTAGTGTTAAAACACCTGTGATAGGGTAAAGGGATGAAGATTAATTAGTTTTGGACATGAAGGAAATTAGCAAAGTTGTTAGAATGGCATAATGGAGAGAGAATTCAAATTCCAGTATACTGAAGAGTAATGGGAAATTAAAATTGGAGAAAGTTATTGTGAATTTTGTTTTTTCCTTAAGAAGTGTGACAGTGAAGAGAAGGGAGTAAAGATTCCACTTAGGAATCTATATAATTATTTAGTGAATTAGTATAGGAGTTTGAGATAACACAAAGGAAATAATGGGTGGAACCAGATCCTAGATAAACAGGAGGAAGTGAAATTAGGGTATAGTCAAGAGAAGAGATCAGTGTGGACTAGAAATAACATTTTTAATATTTAAATATCCATTTTTACTATAAAAAATAATAATATTTTAGAAAACTTAGGAAATAGGAATGAAAACACCCAGAATCTTATCACCCTAACACAATGCCTACCAGTACTCTGCTGCATTCACATGAATGTTTATTAACAGTTTACCATATCAACATCACTACTCATGGACCTTTGCAGGTATAAACTCATTTCCTGTTATAACGATCCTATGAGACAGCTGCTATTATTAAATTCCATTTTACTGGTGAGGAAACTGAGACAAATTAGATAACTAGGCCAAGGTCATATAGCTAGGAAGTGGTAGCCCCAGGATTTGAAGTCATAACTTCAGACTCAAGAGTCTGAATTCTTGACTATACTTCATTTCTTGTGACACTTTTCTCTAAATGTGCTTTAATGTAGTTGTTATGCCAAATATACAAATTGTTTTTCTTGATTTTTCACTAAGTATCATTTAATACAATTTCAGTGTTATTACAGAGACTTTAAAAGATCATTTAATGATAAAAACAATATTTCTTTAAGCCAATATATGATTTTTTAGCTAATTCACTCCCTCTCTTGTTGGACATTAGATTTTTTTTTCCAGATTTTTCTATAAAAATAGCCTGTGAACATCTTTATGTATATATCTTTTTATATGTCTTGGAATATTTCCTTAGGATAAAGTTTCAGCAGAAGCCAAAGAATGGATCTTTTTCTAGTTACTGTTGCCAAATCCCTTCCTAAAAGATTGTACACTAAATTTTAAAAATTAATAATGATTTGTAAGGCATTGTTTAATTCACACTTATTGGATTTGTGATGAGATTGAAAGTTGTTCCATATGTTTGTTTTCATTGTTTTTCTTATTCTTTTTTTTTTTTTTAAAGATTTTATTTATTTATTTGACAGAGAGATAGACAGAAGAGCACAAGCAGAGGGAGTGGCAGAGGGAGAGGGAGAAGCAGGCTCTGTACTGAGCAGGGAACCCGATGTGGGACTCGATCCCAGGACCCTGAGATCATGACCTGAGCCGAAGGCAGACGCTTAACCATCTGAGCCACCCAGGCGCCCTGTTTTTCTTATTCTTATATATGGTCATCTTAGTCAACTCCTATTAGTCTTAATTGCTTCTCATTATGTAAGTGAACTCAAGGGGTTTGTTGCTTGGGGTGCAACAAATTGAGCACAACCCAAAGAAATGTTGAAAGCAAAGAATTTTTATTGTTACGAGTAAGAAGACAGGGAGATAGCTCTCAAAGCACTGTCTCCCTATGGGGTTAGTATAGGAAGCTTTTATTCAGTGTATGGGGGGCAGGGGCAGGGAGCTTGCATATGCATTTTTGGTTTAATTGCACATGCCTAGCATGTTAACATGCTAGTGCATACATTGTATGTTCAAAAAATGACAGAGACTCTGCTCATAGGAGGAGAACTTAGTATTATAATGAACTAAAGTTATCCTCAGGACAACTCAGGGGGGCTTCTGCTCAGGTCCTCAGCTCCAGTTCAGCTCAAAGTAGCTCAAATAGGAGGTTACCAGGAGAGACACACCTAGCAAGGGGTTATCAGGTTAAACACCTAGTTGGGCATCTCCTTGGCTGGAACTGTTGGTTCTGCAAAACAAAACACATCCCTTTCCTGCTTTTGTCCCTTCCCCTCCTCCTTTCTGCTGATAGTTTTCAAACCTCTTATTTGAGTAACTTCCCACTGCATCCTACCTAACAATTATTTCTTTTGGATTTTCTAGGTAGGCAATCATATTGATGCTTTGTCTTTCCTTCTTCAGGATATATACCTCCTACCCCTATTTCCCATCTCATTGAATTGCTTATGATAAATAATGCAATATTCAAAGTGAGGTCTCTTTTCAAATTTTAATGGGAATGATTTAATGTTTCACTATCAAGTATTATTTTTGCTGGAGATTTCTGATATATCAAATTAAGGATACCTATAGTCATTCTCAGGTTGCTAAAAATGTTTAAAAATTAGGAATAGAGTTTGAACCTTGAAGAGCTTTTCCCCACATTTGCTGAAATATGTATTTTTTCCAAATTAAAATTGTTAATTTTCTAATAGCAAACCATCTTCATATTTTTGAGCTAAGCCCTACCTGGTTTTGATACATTATTATTATAACATATTCCAGGATTTGGTTTGCTAGTATTTTACTAGTATTTTTGCATCTATGATCCCATGTAAGATTGAACAGTAGTTTTCCTTTTTGTACCATATTTCTTTGAATTTGGTATGAGACTAATGCTGGTATAAAAGGAATTGGGAAGCCTTCCCTACTTCCAATTGTCTTTATGCTTGTAACTGTTTATTCATTATGTATATTACCTATTTCTTGGTAGGGTTGGTAGAATTCACACAGCTGAAAGGGGAAAGACAGGAGATCCCTCAACATCCTCACCAAGGGATGAGATAGTAACATATTTGATGCCCCTGAGTTCATACAATCTCAGAAAAGGAAGGAAGTGCATTTGGGTGAATTGAAAAACCCAGTTTCAAGCACATAACTATGAGGAGTGTTGAGATGGAAATTCCTATTGTGAAGAGACTGCTAAAATCAATCCTTGAGGACAATTGCTTTGCATCAGGGTGTATTCAGGGAATTGGGGAGTTCATCTCAGTCAGAGGCCTTTCTGGTGTTGAGGGAAGGAGAGCAGACACATCTCATGGGAAGGACACTCATCCTGTTGTTACTTGAAGTTGCTGCCCAAAGTTGGTGTTGGGCTGTATGTGAAGGATTTATGAGACCCCCATTAAGCCTTCTAGTCCTAGTAAAACAGTCATTGGTGTAGCACAGAATCTGTATTCAGGAAAAGTTTCCAAGAAATGGTGGCCTGCAGAGAGATTTTTTTAGAGTGTCCTTCAAGAATTAAAAAGGTTCTGGTAAAGAGATCCTCTCCGTGTAGCCCATAAAAGGACTCTTGGCTCTCAGAAAGCACTCTGGTAGAGATCAAAATCTCTATAATGGTTATTTCTCCAACATATCCTGAGACTGTCCCTTGATCTCCATTAATGCACTGACTATGGCAGAAACACTGATTTATTAGACAGAACAACAGAACCTTACAAAGTGCATTGGTAAACGGTATTGAGCCCTGAGGCACAAAGGGGGAAAAGGGGGGAGAGGTTCAAA